AGCTGAAGGATGGGCAGGAGGTGGTGCTGGGAGTGGGAATGGATGGATTCCAATATGATTCCAATTGCGGTAGCTGATAACTTCTCGGTTGTCAAAGTAGAGGAAACTGGCAGGGATAGTGAGGTAGACTTCTGTAACACCATCATTGACAGCATCGGTGAGAGTCCGATTGAAGCTACTTTGAGTCAAACGACGGGGTGCGTGAGTGCCGTAGGAAATACTGATACCCATACCATTGACAATAGGACGAATGGTATTGATGGGATCAACAAGAGTTTCATTGGCCCAAGGAACAATCAAGTATTCACATATCTGTCGACGGATCTCGGCTATTAAAGCAGCTTCAGCAAGGACATTATCACTTCGGGGTGGGTTTGCAGTGAACAGGTTCTCAGGATGTGGAAGTGAGTCGCTGTAGAGAAGGTTCAGCTGAGTATGTGCTTGCAACCGACGATCCGATTCTGAGAAACTGACATGGAAGTCAATGATAGTAGAAAAGTCAGTCATAATGGACGTCCAGAAGAAAACAAGATAGCTTTCGCACTGGAGATGTATGGGCTGGTTTTAACGTCTGTATCCTGACACCAAAGAAAGTCACAAACACTTGATGGGGGCAGACGACTTGAGGGACGGAAAACCGACGACTTGAGGGACGGACAACTGAATAGGATCGGACAAAAGGGGCCGTAGCTCTTCAATCGTAGCTCAAACGAATCAATGGGTATCGTAAAAGAGTCTATCGTGTCGTTCCGGACGTATTGGGTATACGGTAAGCGGAGCGTGGGAGCGTGGAGTCGGAGCGTGGAGTGGAAACTCGGCGTGGAGTGGAAACTCGGCGTGGAGTGGAAACTCGGAGCGTGGAGCGTGGAGTGGAAACTCGGCGTGGAGTGGAAACTCGGAGCGTGGAGTGGAAACTCGGCGTGGAGTGGAAAACGTCTTCAGAATTCCTGGGAATTCCGCTGATGTCAGCCTGTTCTATGAAATTCCGCTGATGTCAGCGTGTTCTTCGTGCGATCGTCGTTGTTTTTCGAAGAAAAAAAATTTGACAATGGCGCTGTTGGAGTCGTTTCGAGTTAACAAGCGGTCGTTGTTGTTGTTATTGGATGGAATGCTCTTTGATACGACACTCCTGTGGTCGTGTGACTACCCTTGGATTGCTGGTGGGGCAAGCACAAGGTAAGTTTCGATCGAATCGACCTTACGGTCGATCGTCGTGGTTTCACCAAAAAACGATTGTTTCGTGTTCAACAAAGGATCGATGGGCAATGAGGATAGCAGTAACAATAGTAATGATAGCAGCGTTGGCATTAGTAGCGGTAGCAGGGCTCGTAACCTGTCGGAGGACTCTACGGCTAGTAACTTGATAACAAAGAACTAGAATGAAAAGAGTGAGAGGATCGCTAATCGATCCTCTGTGGCTACCGGTTGACTGACAGACTGTAAGTCGCGTGACAGTGGATCTCTCTCGTTGATTAGTTTTCATAGCTTTCTAATCCTCTCATAACTTTCATTCTCTCAAACTCAAAACACTCGAAAGATCTTTACACTAGCTTTTAGCGTAGTGCACCTGGGTGGACCAAATCAAGCCACAAGTACAGTCGTACCGGTAGGACCAACGCCTAGCTAGCTACACCCACATCAGGATCCACTCTGGTTCCCACACCAGGTCCATAGTCAGGCCCTCTCCCGGACCAACTCGTCCTGGATCATATCAGGGCCCCACTCCAGGCCCAATCAAAGACAAAGTCTTGTTCCACTCAAGAACCCACTCCTGTTCCCACTCTAGCCCCCACACCTGGGCCAAATCCAGGCCCCACACATCGTGAAATAACTCCGCCCTATACCCAGGTGTAGAACTCGGCTGGACTTAATCACACCTGGATCAATTCTGGGTTGCTTCCCTCACCCAGCCACTCTGGGCTTGCCGCACATTATATTATACTGTGAGATCCTGTCCAGGACCAAATCCTAGATCATACTCTTGACCCCCACTCCAGACTCCACACCTTGCACCAAGTCCAGGACCTTCCCAACTCGTGGAAAACGTCCCACACCCTTCCCAACGGACGAACTTCGGGGCCCACTGCAGGACTAGTGCATGGCCCACCACAGGTCATGCCCAGACCAACATTGGCTAGGACCCACACATGGACCAGTTTCTAGGTGCACACCAGGAACCACTCAGGGCTGGTTACGCTGAGGTTCATTGCTGGGCATTGTGGTTCCTGGCCGCCCCAACTCCTAGACCACACACTTGCACCGACACCCCATCATGTTTGGGCCCTCAGTTGTTTATGAAGGCCTCACACCAACATAATGACCCACTCTTGTTTTCATTGATGTTTCATCTCCACTGCAGAAGCTCTGCCAAGCTGAAAATTTCACTTTTGCATCACCGCCTGAGGAGCAGGCTAGCTAGAAGGGATGCGAAAATAAGAAGTACTTGGGCCCACTGCAACTGGTAACAACACTTCATGCCACTTAGCCCTCTAGATACGCGGCCACTAGCTTACCCCACCGTACCAGGTGATGATCTATCAGTCTTACATGTATTTGCAACAAGCAAAATGGAGCTTTTTAAAACCTTTACTGCCAGCAGCATTCGTCACGACAAAATCGAGCTTTAACCTTTACGTCTTCCTCTGCCTAACTAACAGTACCACAGTTTTCGTCACAAGAAAGCGAGCTACGGAGAGAGGTAGGATAGCCACAAACCATACCATACAGGTCCCAATGAATGAGGGCTGGGACCATGAACCACACATGATTGTAGTATCGTAACTAACATCCAACATCCACACCAAGAGTAGAAAATTCCTCCAATGCGTCTTCCAAGGACAGCGTCGGCAATCCATGAGCTCCAATAAAGAAGAGTGGAAAGTCTGACTGGCAAGCATCATCAATAACATTGATGCTGCGCAGAAAGTCAAAAAATTCTTGCGGTCCTCCCAGGGCCACGGTGAAGCCAATGCCGGCATTGTAGAGATCTGCCACGTACACGTAGAGTCCTTGCGGTGTTTCAATCAATGTCACGACCATATCTTCGGCATGTTCGGCGGGAACACTGGCGACAAAGACCTTGAGATCGGTTTCATTGACAAGAACATTGGCACCAGCGTCTTGGACGGAGAAAATCATGGCGTCGTCTCCCGTCAAATTGGAGTATGCCCAGGCGTCCGGTAACAACGTGGAGGGTGCATCAAAGACATCGGTACGCCACCATTCTTCCACTCCATGTCCGACAATGAGTTCGGCATTGCCCATGGTTTCTCCCATGACCTCTCGAACGGCACTGGAATGATCAATGTGATGATGAGATTGTATGAGATGCGTGAGGACGGTGGATCCGGGAAGAGGGGCGAGTTCTTCTTGTACCAAGTTCACCAGTGTGGCTCCGTGTTGGGCCGATGACGGTGCTTCAATGAGAATGGCACTGGTACCATTGTTGAAATACACAACGACGGATTGTGCCGTCTCAAACGAGGGAATGACATAGACTTGGTTTGGAATAATTTCGACGGGATCGCCAATGGTTGGATTGAAGGGAAATGAATAGAATCCCGTCATGAACCACACGGCTTCTAGGTGATGGGATGTCAACCCATATTCATAACTGTCGAAATCCACGGTGGAATTCGTGCCCGGTGGCAATTCGAATAGCTCGTCAAGTTTAATGTCAGTGTTGTCGTTGTTGTAGGATTGTACAAAGTAGCGTTCTTCTTGCCAAAAGACGAATTCATTGACAGTCTGTTGGACAAATGCCGGGAACACAAGTCCAGTGTCGGTGACCAGGGACCAGTTGGAATAGGCAATGGTGACGGTGACATCTCCCAAGAGATCGTTGCTCTCCGTGAGTGTGAGTGAGTCAATGAACCCAGTGTCGGTATCAATGGTGAATGTAATGGGCGAGATGAAATCATCGTATACAAATGTATCATCGTCCACTTCGAGGAGGTTCGCTGAACCCAATAGTACAGATTTTAGAAAGACATGCGGATTGAACAGGTACGTTTGTCGGATCAACGCCACCGCAGAGGCCGTGGGCATGGTCCCATTGGCCGCAAACAGGTAGCTGCCTTCCAGTACTCCGACGGGACCGATACCACCATCACCGTGAGCCGTGCGTGTCGTGTTGGCCGGTGGAAAGAAGCGAAAGGTTTCAAACAAGGGTTGAATGGTCTCTTCGACACGCACACGCAGATTTTCTTCCAAAAGATCACTAAACTGCAGGAAGCGGTCGTACGTGCTCACATTGACCAGACTCTCCGGTGTGGCACCTTCGTAGGCGACAAAGGTGGCACCCGATGCCAAGTACTCCACCAACGACACATCCATCAGAGCGTCTTGTCCACCCAGCGCATTCACCACAAGCTCCAAGACAGCAGGAACTTGACGTTGCTCTTCGTCTTCGCCATCCACATTGCTGGGATCTTGGGCGGCGATTTCTTCTGGGCTCAGACCAGCCAGTTGGCGTGTGCCACTGCTTGAAATAGTAGCATCCGCCACAAGGGCCAAACACAGCAATACCGTCGACTGCAAAGAAAGCTTCATTTTTTGGCAACAGCAAGAGAACAGAAGGAAAAGATAAAAGAGGAGATCGAGCCGCCAACAATAGATGCTCAGTCAACCAGACTTCTTTCCACCACAAGTTGTTTGAAGCGCGGTGCAATACTAATACTAGCGCTAGTATGGGTACAAAATGAAAGATCCTGGTGCAACAAGCCCTCGGCTCTCATCCATCCATCAACAAATTGCTCGAGCTGTTTGAAGAAAAAGATGAGGTCCTGCCTCATTTTTTTGAACCACAGTATTTTAAAATAATTGCAACCGCAATGACCACAATACCAAATACTGTACAATTAATTAACAACACTACAGTCATTTAATTAATCCAGGTGACTAAATCAATAGTAATTAAATAAACTGGTACTGGAGTACTTTCTAAGCTCCAAATAAAACTTTTGTGTAAAGATCGACGAAAAGATATAAGAAACGTGGATGGAGAACTTCCTCTTTCCTGAATGGTGGCTTTTACTAGGAATGGGTCTGTAACGAACGGTCCCCCAGTCATTTCAATAACATCCTGCACGCACTCCAATCGGGTTGGCTGTCGACCATCAAACGCTCACATATCGCCCAAGATCCATGTATTCATTCGGCAACAAAGGCACAATGCCGCACAATGCAAGAAATCGAACTGGGACTACTAGCTAGCTACCAGTACATGTAGCTAGCTAGTACCAACAAAATGCAATGATTGATCGAAGTAATAAGTATCTGAAAGTGGGCTCGATTTCCGCTGCTGTTCAGATCAAAGAGGCAGAATCATCCTTTGCAGGATGTGTCTGAGATCATGATGATCGCATGCACTGGCATCATCCGTCATCCTTCCGGGGATGGAAGAAGAAACCTCTGGAAAAACACTACCAGCCACTAGCTAGCCTGTCAGACAAAAAGGGAACAACGTGCAAGAATTGTACGCGGTTGGCTAAGCAAGCAATGCATCGGATTTGGAATCAAATCACATTTTCGAATGAAGCACGATGGTAAGAAGCAAAATAGCTACAAGCAGCCAATTACCAGGGACAGACAGGCAGCCCATTTGACCAAAACGGGAACCGTGGCAGTATCCAGACTCATCCGGAGTCCTCACCAGAACAAGCAGGTTCCAGTGTGTCCCACACTAGCTGGCTGGCTAGGCGGTGGAACCGGTATCTGTCAACTCGAAGTCGAGGAATAATGGTTTGTAGAAAGCAAAAACTGGCACAGTCTGGAAAGTTGGTGACGAAAGGGAAAAGGTGGAAAGCGTCGTTGATGCAGGATGCAGGGACTTGATGAAGAAGCTTCAGAACTTTATTAGTATCAGCCAAACAGCAAGTAGACTAGGTTGGAAGGATCAAGCCAAGTCTGAGAAGCAGCGAACTTTCCAACTGAATATCAGAACTTTGCGGCCTGAAACTGTTTGCAGCAGCCAGATCTGACTGACACTTTAGAAGCACCTTTTGGCGTTGATGCAGGCTTCGACAACCATGGGACTGCATCCATTCGTTGAATGGTTGAGTGTTGAGTGCAGTTGTGGGAGGTCTTTTCACGCTGAATAGTCATTGTTCTCTTTTTAATCCGAATACCGGTATGCAATTGCTTAGGTATGTGCCAGGTGCCAGAATGGTCAGAACTTCGCTCACGAGTAACCATTTTCAATGACCCAGGCATTTCGGACAATAAGATGGAGAGCGATGTGTTTTAATCATTGTTTCCCTCAGACATTCTACTGCTGAATGAGGTTACAGTCTACTTATGGGATTCATTCTACTCGCATACTCGCGTGCTCGAGTACCTGGTACAGATTACAGATAGAGGCTTGAAGCTAAGATGTGAGTGGATGTGTGTATCTTGTTTAGGGCAAGGTTATAGGCATCTCTTTGATACTTAACGATCCACGAGTAGTGATTGCCACAGGATTCAACCACTGTACCACTTGCCTTGACGTAAATCCGGTCTGATGAGCACAACAGCACATCAATGCCGGGAATTGTTTACACACTGGCACACTGGCACCACTGGTAATGACGATGGGGAAAATGAAGTCCCATACCCCTTTTAATAAGATACTATGGATAATGCAGCATCCGTTCCAGGCTTCCAGTTTGATTAGATCTACGGCTGTCGCTTGGCTTTGCACCCAATTACAGCTCCCTTATCTGACCATTCAGAGAGCATGGAATCGAATCGAATCGAGTCGAGTCTAGCTAGTGTTCTATCACTCAGTAACTTCTTTCCTGATGGTTGGTGGGGTGATTATGTCCCACCTCTATAATAGATCGAATCCTTCTCTGATCTCGAATGTCAAACTAGATCTAGTCTACATCCTCATTTATTTTGGTAGTCTTGGATACTAGTATCTTATTAAAAAGGTGTGAACCTTACATTCTTGTTCCAAGCGACCAAATGGCCCCTCCCTGCCAGTTCAAGTGTCTATAAATCCATGAGGTGTCATGCAACGTGTGCAGCCGATGAAGTTCGGATGAAAGCTGCAGAGCGATCCTGTTTGATTCGACTCACTCGACTAACTTTTACTGCGGCCCTTGGATGTCTCTCAAAAAATATCTGACCGCAGAACCGCAACAGGCCTGCCTACAGCGAAAAAGCACCACTAAAAAAATCCTATCAAATCATCCAAAAAGAAATGTGCGCTGTCACCATGACGCTCCCACCGCCGGAACCCGCCCCCACAGCAGCGACTACCGATACAAGTATTACTACAGACACTGACGCTAGCACTCCTACTACTACTACTATCAAGTCCGCTGTCAGCCATGTGAGACGATCTCGCAAGCAGCGCGTCCGGATTTCACCCGACACCGAAGAACCCGTTCCTTCCGCAGACAAGCTGCGGGGCAAATCGCCGCTTCGTCGCGTTGGCACTACCGTCCCGCAAAAGGCCGGACCACCGTTGCTCCGCAGCAGCACAGTCCCTGAAAACTCGCTGTCGCAGAATCGTAGTCGTCGTGCTCTTCCAGCCGCTGACACAGCTCATAAAGACACGGCCACGAGCAAATTGTTGCAAAAGATTAGTAACCATGTCCCCAACAAGCTGCGGTTGCGACCGGCCGAAGAACCCACCCGGCCCGTGGATCCCATGCAAGTCTCGTTGGAGCAGTACCATTACAGCACGCAGGATACGTTGTCCATTGTGACGGATCGCGAAGCCTTTCAGAATCTCAAACAGTCTCTGCGGCAACGCCGCTGTGTGACCAATGCCTATTTGAAAATGAATTTTCATTTCTACGTGCAGCACTGCAAACGGGTACGAGAAGCGCGTCATCAGTATGAACTCAAGGTATTGAAACAACAACGCAAAGAAGCAGGACGAGTCATGAGTGACAGCACCAGTCGAGCCACCGCCGTCAAAAATCTTCAAATGACGACGGACTAACGAAACAAGCTCAATACAAGAGAACGTCTGGTTGGCTGTATCTCACTGCATAACAAAACTGGAGAAAATAATTAATCAATTACATAGAACGAAAAAGGATTGGAGGAACACGTCCTCTCTACAAAACAAAACTACATGCTTGGAGTGCCAAATTAGAAAACTTTACATGTAGTTTTCGCCCACCTAAGGTAGCCAGAGGGGTGTACCGGTGGCAACCAAAGGCGGTACTGCGGCCGTAGATGCTTCCGCTCCTTGCCGCGACCGTAGATGCCACAAGTAAAAAATGTGAACAGCGCAAACGAAGGAGAATCGAATCCCAAGCATCTCTACCGCTATCCAGAACTGTAGCCATCAATCTGATGCCTAGCTAGCAAGCTAATTGCGGGTTGGAAGGCAACGGATAGCCAAAAAAGTCAAAAATTAAAAACTCACGCCCACCGAACACTCTAGCTAGCCCCTATCTCAGGGCTCACGGCTCCACTCGAACAGACCATAAATGTACGGAGTGGTCTAGCCAGTTTTTGCACGTACTGAGCCACACCGGCATCATGCCCCGGCTAGTCTTTGAAAATGAAGAGCTAGCTCTAGGTACCGTACCGAAGGGGGGAATGCCGCCAGGATTGCTGGAGATTTGTGGTGCCATCGCACTACCGCAGTATCTGACTTGACCATTTTGCTTGTACCGGTATAGGTAGGTCCAATCTGCCTGCCTTCTTCTGGTGTATACCCCTCCTTGCTTGGCCAGCTAGACTAGCTAGCCAGGAGTTTTCGTTCCTTGCCGTGATACACAGAGCGATGCGATAGATTGATATTTCCAGCCGCAATGCCTGCATGGCTTGGCGATGGAGGAGCCGGTCGGGTCCCATCCTTTCTCTGTTCCCCTTTTAGCTGGGCGAGATAGTCTACATGCCGCACAAGATTCTTGAGCAACCGAGCAAGTAAACCAGGGATCCGGAGCTACGCACATATATATTCGGTCCTTGACTCCCGCTGGAACTAAGGACAATTAGCTACAGGCGGAGGTCTCAAAGGTTGTGGAGATTGTTATTCGTGAATGCTATAGTTGTTGTTTACTCGCCATCGGTATTGGCGGGGTTGGGCACAGTGTCCTTCGGGTGGCTGATATTGTATGAGTGATTGTTGGAATTGTCGGAGCCAAGCATTCGTACCGACTCTCATTTCTTGGGCCAATCGCTATCTACAAGAATTGCGCCGCCAACACACCACAGTAATCAATGACATCTGCCAACTGCGCCAGGGGACATCCACGAGTAATGGTTTGACAAAAGGGAATGGCCATGACAGCCGCTTCAGGAATTCCAAAGCCATAGAAATCACTGTCGCAGAGGGCATCACCAGGACCAGAACCAAAAGGAGGAGTTTGATCCTTCAACGCCGCCACAAAAGCAATATCACATTTGCAGCGCGCGGGAAAGCCTACCCCTTCCGCTCCATTGGTTCCCTCGGAATCCAAGCAGGTATCATGGCTCTGACATGCCGAGTCAATGTCATTACAGGGTTCTGGTTGGTTTTGGTTTTGTCCGTTTTCGGGACACTTGTTGGTAGCACCACAGTACTTGCCGTAGCCAAAGAGCTTGGCGTTGGCCTTGGCAGCACTTTGAATCTCACCCATGGTGGCGTCCGGATGCAGGGCGGCGAAAAAGTTTTCCACGGTTGTGCTACATTTGCCGCTAAAGTCCTGGCAAAGGTTGTCATTGGGGCTGCACTGGCTCATTGCCGAGCCAAGGAGCGAGACGACGAGGACGAGGGATGAAACGATCTTCATGGTGCCGAGCTGAAACTTGTGTGTTGTGGCAGGAAGTGATGGTTTGCTTTGCTTTTGATCGGAAGTTGATTTTATGTGGTTGGTGAGAGCATGAAGGGAGCCATCAGCAAAAGAAAGCAAACCGACGAGCAATGACAGCATGTTACGCGTAACGATGGTGGTACCGATACATACACATGTACCGTACGATACGAAGGCCCTCAAAGGATTTTGAGTCACGGATCCAAAATGGACAGGTATTTGGCTCTGTTAGTCTAGTAGCCATTAATAGCTAGGTTCGTGAATCAATCCTTATCCAAGTCTGGAGCAAAAAAGCAGCATTCGTGGGCTTCTTCAGTATTATGCAACCGTGTAGCCGCGCAGGTGTTCTAGCTAGCTAGCTAGCTAGCTAGAGCAAAGCCACAGAGTGACAGTCACATCTTTTGTGGGCTGATTTGAAGTGTTGGGGCTTCACTCTTCTAGCTACTGGCAGCAACCATACTCCACCGCCGGCGACATTTGCGTTTGCTCGTCTTCGTAGAGCTGCTTGAATTTGAGTAGAGTTGCCCTCACGCCAAGACCAAAGTGTTTCAATGGCAAACCAGACAAGATGCGTACCATCCAAATCTCGGACACGTCAAGATGCGGTAGCTACCGGTACAGTGTATGGTATTTGCAGCCGAGGCAATAAATACACGCCCTCTTTATGCTTCTCCCAGCCATAATAGCTGTCGTCACTCTGCTGTTCGTTTCGCAAAACGCATATCCCAACCACAAGCTGCAGTGTATCCCCTTCAGCGCTACGAGTATGGTTACTCGATTTATAAAACAATACGTGTTGCCACTCCAACCAAGTAATTCCACAACTGCACAACAACAACCTCTATGAAATTCAACTCCACCACTCCCATTTTTATTACATGCATCATCAACTTTTTGTCTTTGAGCAGGCAGAACATGCGTCTTTTGACACAACTCTCCACACACAAGGGGGATCATGAGAGCAGGGAAGAGGCATTTCCAGGTGACAGGACTGGCACATGACAATCCCAGCACAAAACTTTCGGGAAACCTTTTCGTCTGTGGACATCCAGGAATGATGACCAGGAATGATACAGCCAGGTGTGCGGCATATAGAATCAATGGTATACTTGTGCAATCGACGGACGGGACCGTGGGTGCCCATCATCATAATTCGTGGAACCCGGAATTGCTTCCCACAAACCACAGCTGTCTTTTGTGTCCTGTTCAATTTTGTGCAAGGAGTTTTCATCCAACGTTTCTTTGGAAGTTTTGTAGTTCCGTGCTTTCGAGTGAGTTCGATCCAAACTTTGCGGCTCTCTGTTTTCAGTTCATTATTTTTATCTGGGAGGGTTGTTGGTCCTGTCCGTGAACATTCAAATCCTACCGGTAGAGTTTCATGTTCCATTACTTGCTGCTGCTTTCCAACCTTCTTCTGGTGACAGCAGTTGGTGCAGTTTCCTTTGGACATAATTCCCCATTCACAAGGGGGCTTGTGCACACAGGGAAAAGGGATTTTAGCATGGCATGTCGAGCAAACCACCCTCCGACCACAAGACTTTCTGGAATTTCGTTCACGCCAATGCATCCAGCGATAGTGGTCTGTGGCAATGCAGTCTGGTGTGCGGCAAATTGAATCGATCGCATCTGTGACACTGGCTTTTGTGGAACTGTTGGAACCGTGCATCATTATGTTTTGAATACTGAATGTCTTACCACAGACTTGCAGGTGCTGTTGTTTGCTGTTCAGTATCATGCAAGGAGTCTTCAACCATGGTTTCTTGGGTAGCTCTGAGGTTCCATGTTGCTGGAGATGTTGTAACCAAACTTTGTGGCATTCCTTCTTTGTACTGGCATTGCTCGAGATCTCGTATTTCGATTTCTTCTTCAGTGTATGGGTTGTGGATGCGTCGTCGCCAATCGTCTCTTCGCCACAGCCGTCATCCGAGGGAGACCAGGAATCATCGTCTTCTGCGTCATTGGAAGAGGTGCTGCAGCATGACGATACTTGGAATTTAGCACGACGAGTCAGAGTCATCTCTATTGCTCAGAGTTTGTTTCCGTACTTTGACATACAGTACATAATAATCCCCTCGTCTCATCATCAGCTTTGGGCTATCGGTTTCGACGTAAAGCAGAGAGAGTTTCGCCCGCGCCCTCGCCCTTTTTAGAACAGTAAAATAATTTTATTCTTTACCGTTAGGAAAAGTGGAGCTAGTCTACCTGTACCGTACCAGACCTACCGGTAACAGTGTCGGTACCACCAGAGGCCACGTGGGCGGGACAGCCAGAGCTCAACTCAACAACTTTTCTTGTCCAGAGAGTCCGCTGCTACATGTAGCTAGCTAGACAAGCACCTGCTGCAAATACTGTAACTACATGTAAGTTCAGCCCCTACTACTGGCTAGCTTCCTCCTGGCAAATTCCAGCTGTTAGTAGCACCGGTATGCCAGAGCAAAACGGAGCAAGTTCTTTCCATGCTGTGTGCGGTTTGCAGCCCACAGTTGGTCATAACTAGAGCTAGTGTTGGTTCAGGTGTGGGGCCTGGAGTAGAAATAAATGGTTCAGTAAGAGCGGCGTGGAACAGGAGCTAGTCTTTGGTTGAGGAGGACTGGAATGGGCCGGAGAATGGCTGATACAGGAGTGCTTGGTGTGGGAGGGGGGCTGCCAATGGCTGGCGATGGACCTACCAGTAGCTAATGTGGGTTATGGTTTGGGTCCGGTATAGGTGTTTACTATGTGGGTTATGGTTTGGGTCTGGGAAGCTGTCTGGGATAGGGGTTGCTATTGCACTCTATGTTCGACCTCGAATCGCGGCCCCGTGGGCACTGGAGTGTCTAGCGAGTTGGATGTAGGGTCAGGTCAAGTGGAAGGCTTTGGGGTCGTGTTGTCCCAAAGTACCGCAGCCATGGCGTAGCAGCCTCCCTCCAGGTCCGATTACTCCTACTTTCACTGTGAACTGAACAACTGGACCGTCATCTCCACTCGCAATTACATGTAGGACAATACCGTTTTAGCTTTTTGAACCAAGAGAAAAGCCTCAAGTTGAGCTTGAACTTGTAGCTGGAACTTGGAGCTTGGAGCTGCTTCTTGGAGTTGCTTGTGGGTTGTGGGTGCTGTGACTGACGGATCTAAAAAGGTTCCTGTGATTGCAGAAGATCGCAACTAAGCTGTGGAATACAAAAACATGCTAGCTAGGAAGAGGGAAAAAGCAACCGTGGTGCTCCAAACCAAGACCGCATTGGACATACTTTGACCATTTTTGACCATAAAAGTCCGACTTTGAAGATAAACGGTCACTTTGACTACAGTTGACCATGGTCACAGGTGATCATTGGTGGTCACTCGAGGTCAACCGTGGTCAATAGTGGTCTTTTACTAGTTAATTACTAGTTGAAATTATGGTCAGCCGTGGTCAGCCGTGGTCAACCGTGGTCAGCCGTGGTCAATCGTGGTCAACAGTGGTCAACCGTGGTCACTGAATGATTGAAGCCAATTCCTTCTCCTTCATTTTGACCATGTTTGACCACCCAAGACTATCAATAGCCCTCATTAGCCATTCGAAGGACCACAAAAAAGAGCCCTTTTCCCTCTTCCCTAGAATACAGTACTACTAGTACCCTACCACACTGTACCGGTACCGGCAGCATCTCCCCCACTTGATCATTGAAGCAATGCTTTGACTGTGACTCACCAGGACTCGACTCACCTTGAATGAGAAAGCGAAAATAAATAAATATATGGCACGACTGTACGATTTGCGGCACTGGAGTTGTTGCCGGTGGGCAGGCCAGAAAACATCCCATTGAGTTGGTATGTTGGAGCTTATGTTGGTATCTTTTGGTCTTTTGGTACTGTATTGGTGCAGTACTACTGTGCCGTAGATCCAAAGGGGAAGCCGAAAGGCCGAAACCCAGTTTCGGGAAGGCTGCAAAAACAAGATTGCGTCTGGGATCTGGGAGTGGTGCCTGCAGCAACGGACCCTGGGACCGGAGCCGCAGTGTCTCTATGAGAGAATGGGCAAAAAAAATTTTATGTTGCTATTAATATGGCGAAGTGGTATCTTTTCAGAACTCAGATCAAGGAAGGGTCTCTTGTGTGGAGCTTCTGTGGCTTATTATCAGTTCTGCTGTCGTGCGTTTCTCCACACGAGATTCCGCGCGATCCTCCGCATCAGATCTCTGGTACTGTAGCTACCGGTATCAGACTCGACTCGACTCTGTCAGATAGCGGTAGTACAGTACATGTAGCTACTAGTGTCAGATTGACCTACTACCGGTACTACCGGTAGTACTACATGTATGTAGTACACTTTCTTGCACTCTAGTACCTTGTTTCACAGTAGATAGGACATATTGATACTCCCGTTTTTAGCTTCTTACGCTCTTCACGCACGAAGACGTTCATGTTCCACAAAAAAAGCCTACTAGTGCTATACTAAACTCTGTACTGAGCTGTACTGCCAAGTTGAACCTGAACTTGCAGATTGCCGAAAGGAGTTGCAGCAGCGCTTACTTGGCCACCAGCTTCTTGCGTTCCGTGAAAAGGAAAAGTAATCCCCAGCTCCTTGGGGAATCAGATATCAAACAAGACTCAGTAGTCATGAACATGACTGAATTCATGAAGTCCACAGAGAACTAGAGGTAGCATGACTGACCACTAACCTTAGTAGGCTTTCTCTTGAACCTCAAGCATAATCCAAAGAAACAAGAAATGCCCGGAGTTGGGGAGTTTATGGAAGAAGTTTCAACTGCGACTGACAAATGCGAACGTCCCTCAAAACCTCTAACTGACAGATCGCCATTGTGTTCCACCATGCAGTACCGTATCCATCAAATGGCTTATGGGCTTGACCCAAAACGCTTTTTTCTGCGCTCTGGTGTCTGGCTTTGGAGTGTGAGAGCTAACAATGGTGCACCCCGTTCGGTTTTGCTACAATTCATAATTCGTCCAATGCACTGCTGAGGGTGTTTCGAGTTTCGAGGCTTTGTTATCTCTTTAGAAACTCTGATTGGGTTGGCTGCCTCGTGGCACAATAATACGTACTACAGTACAGTGTAGTAGTGGTACACGACATTATTGTCATACGATGTATTACATGTAATTATACCGAAAGCCTAAAGGCCGAAACAGAGGTGAGCAGATGGCTGCAACAAAGAAAACAGGATCGAGTTGGAAGGGGTACAGTTGTTTCATTGAATTAATGGGATCAGAGATCCGATCAGAAGCATTCTGATTCCTTATCCTGCAGGAGAATCTACGACTATATCTTGGAGAACAGTTTTTCTCTTGAGAGTCCGACCAGTCCGTGCTCTTATTTCGTTGGACGTGTGTTGAACGTCAAAGGTAAAACCGAAGAACAAAATTCGGCCAGTTGTTTGTTCAGCTGTTGTTCACACATACATTGACAGACGCCAAGAACACTTCACCTGAAAGTGTGTTTGATTGTTTTAACTCCGATCTTCTCCTGTTATCGCACATCGTCACGAACCCGAGATTTTTGGGGCAGTTGGCGTCAGACTGTGTACTTGTGCGCATCCCACACTTTTCTTACCGACTATTTGCTTATTCAGCTTAACAGAAGTGTCTCAGAACAATAGAAATTTGATAATGTTGCTTGGTTCTGTCAAAGTAACTCCTTTGTGAATTATTCTGAAACTTTCCAATTTCTGAATGCCCCGCACTACTGTACGTGCTACCGTGGTACGGTATCTGAATGCTCCGATCTCAGCAAAACTGACATTTTTCCACGAATTTTGTTTTGAATGGTTACTGTAACAAACTAGCTAGACGGTCACTGCTCTACTAGCTAGCTAGCTATCATGCCGGTAGCTAGCTAGAACCTCCGTGTTTCTTGGGTAACAGCAAATTCAATGGGTTTATCAAATTGTTCAATTTACTATTTATTCTGCTACCCTATTTCACTTATTGTTCCAACAGGACGGTAGATGTTGTAGCAGCGTCTGCTGCTGGTAGGGATAGTTTCACCATTAAGAAACTCAAGGACAAATCAAGTTCAATAGCCCTAACTCATTGGAGCACTTGACTTGAAATTCATAGGCTGTGAAAAAGGCTGAAAAGGTCTTGGTGGTCACCTTCGATGTGGCTGTTCTTTCCCGTTTTTACTTTGGTACCGTGCATCACCGCTTGCCAGCAGAATAAAAAGGGCCGTGTTACCTCCGTGGTACTGGAGCTGGTACTGAGTACGTACACTGTGTAGTTGGTGTGGTGATGAGGGGTATTCATCTAATCCTCAAATCGCAGGTGAGGCCTACTGGGATACAGTACTACAGCCTACTGGATATCTTTTGCTCCTCTCTTTTGGTCCGATTTCGCCGACACTGGAAGAAAACACACTTTGCTCACACTTCTCAGGTTCCATAACACAATTTCGTTCGCCATCGATATAAAATCTAATTGATCAATACGTTGATTTGCCAAGATAGATTATAAGATAAGATGAACCGTTCCAGCCCCAGCATCCCAACCAACAGCAGCATCACCACTGCGCCTCGGTGTACAGTTACTGTGAATGGACAACAATACGATGTCTCCAACTTGTTGTCCAGAGCCAGTGATCATAATCCATTGATGATGGACAGGTCTCCTTCGTTTCTTCCCACAAGCCTTCTAAGGAATGGCCAACAGCAGCGACGCAACACTTGGCCCATGAAGAAGGAAGATCGCTTCCAGTTCCTGCAACGACAGCCCTTTATTTATCCCCATCCCCATTCTTGCGCCGAGCTCCTAAGAGCCTCTGACATTGATAACAAGGATATTGACAAGATCATCCCCGTGCCTACCACAAGCCCTATTCGATCAACCCAGTCCCAACCATGCCACTCTTATCCATCAACCTATGATTTTAATGAGCAACTAAGAAGATCACCAGAGCCACTCTGCAAGTCCTCCGAGCCACTCTGCAAGTCATCTTCCTCCATGTACCACAAGTCATCCCCACAGCCAGTAGTACAGCCAGTGGTATCATCCTTTCCCCAAGCGGCCGAAGTACTCAGCTGTCCTCTGGTGGAAGTCTCTCCGGGTGTCCGTGTCCCCTACTTTGGCGCTGCCTTTACCACGCGGGCGATTGCCAATCAAGATCACATTTCCACGACCTGTCTCGTCTGCGATGCCTACTTGTCCTGCATGTTTGGCGTCGAATACGTTGCCTGTCCCAACTGTCATGCCGTCAGTCCCGTCGATGAACGCATCACCATGTTGTACCCACAACCTCCCATGGGACTCGGTATTGGACTGCAACGACCCAAGAGTGCCGATTGCCGCAGTCAACGCATTCAGAATCATGGGCCTACTACTACTAGTACTAGTACAAGTAGTACAGTCACAACAACAACAGACATTACCGAACCCGAAATCCCAATGCCATCCCCCAGCCCCAGGGATGGAAGCTACTGGGAATCCTCGTCGTCACTCAAGTACGACAATAATGACGACCAACAAAAGACCACTGAAAAGCAACGAATGGCCTATGGTTCTTATCATCATCATCAAGAATCACCACAACAGACAGCTTTGTGCTACTATCAATAAAAAGTATATAAAAAGTTAGCAATTTTGATTACACTACACCATCACTGTATTGTATTGCTTTGTCCATCTACATGTATCTTCTGGTACGTACCGAAAGGTACGACTGTACCGATTGCATAGCAAGTTGGCCGATTGCATAGCAAGTTGGTACCGGTACCGTATGCCTTCCCGGTGAAACCAGAGAAGGACACACCACAATGATTCGATTCGATTGAATCGAATCGAATCATTTCGTTCAGCGAGACAAGGACATAAGCCTTGATCGCCGGCTGAAACGTGCCTCAACCACTACCTGGTACCGACGCATTGAAAGGTATGGGTAATGAAATTTTCAAGTTGCCCCAGTGGCTGCTTTGACTGCTGCATCGTGTCAAGGGAGGTGTAAAACCCAAGGTGGACTATGGGTAGCAATGTCATAGAGTGTAAACTGGTGATGCTAGAGCATGATCAAGTAGTCGCAGAAGCAATGATTTTCTATTGAGTTTAATGTACTTTTGAAACTGATTTTGAAAAAAAGTGAGGCTCGCCTCGCGTCCGAGACATTTCTCCACGAATCCGAGACATTTCTCCACGAATCTGAGACATTTTTTCCCAATTGGGATTGAAAAAGGCAAACCGTTTCTTTAAGTCACAGTCAGTCACATTTCAGAAAAGAAGAAAATCCACGATCTCAAGCAAAGCAACAATAAATCCCCGTCAATCGACCAAGCACCATTTGACCACTGAAACACCTGTAAAGAGACGCTTTCTCTCACAAGCAGCCACAACCAACTGGTGAGAGAGTCAATCGCTCCCGGAAACAGGATGCAGTCACCCAAGATGCCATGGCATCGCGAAAGATCCCACAATCGTCCAGTGAGTGAGCAACATGCCGATCCTTTGGAAGCTGTACCACAGCTGCCAGCAGATGACTCACGTCACAATTTCGTGCAAAATGTAAAGATGCAAACACTAGAAGGCAAGTGTTAGAGATTTGCAAGACAAAAGACAGCCAAAACAGGGCCACAGACTCACCAAATGGCCAAGCAAAATAGCTTGACAAAAACACCACAACAATTCCCAATGTTGCATCCCCTGCAACAGTCACTACTTGCACTCAATCTCCACCTTGGAATCCAAAAATGGCAACAGTTAGAAAGGAGACCAAAAGAAAAGAGGCAACATCAGCACAAGAACTCACCTTGCAAGATCTCTTCTCCGTTCGCATCAAATACAACCTCGTCCTCGTCAAACTCCTGATCCTCCAGCTGGTTGTTCTCGTTCCACAGGTGTTGGAGGAAACATACCTGACACCTCTTTACTATTGACTCGTGTATTAATCATCTAGTCCGGTTCGCATGCAAATTGATCATGCAAGGAACCAAGGGAGTTTTAGGTCTAAAGTGTTGCGGGGGTCCTTATATCCAATTCAATCACAAGAATTGCTATGCACCACCAGAAAATCCTCACTTTTGCTTTCAGCTTAATCTAAAACCAAATTACTCCCCATAAGCTGCAGTATTACTAGCAAACAACACTGAAAACAAAAGCTCATCTCGAGTTCGAAGTCAACCGCCTCGAGAGAGTATTACCAAGTTGACACAAAGTCAATCAAGACTATCATTGAGTAACTATAGCAACAGAGGAGAGGTGCGCAAATACTGCACACAGCCAACTATAAGGATACCAAAAACTCTAACAGGAAAAAGTGCGCGGGAAGATTCCATCTTCATTCATTCCATTTGACGTCACGAAGATCAACTGTAAGTTTGGCCGGAACTACAGCAATCCAAGCATAACGTTGAAGAGAACAAGAAGATACACCAGTTACGTGCCGAGAGAAGGAAATCCGGCTCTTATTCAAGGAGTTGAAGCGGATTACGTCATCGCGCGAGATTACGAGATTTCGATCCATCTCATCACAACGAGCAGAAGTCATCGAACGGGGATCAAGATAGATCCTGACACAGACGTTGCAAGCAAGAGGTCCCATACATCAATCGATAGAGGACATCTAGCCGCATCTCTGAGTATCAGTGCAAGCTTCTAACTCACAAAATTGAGAAGATAGCTTGATTCGAGTGATACAGTGCTATTGTGAAGAGAAACACAAAATCCCGGTAAACCACACGAGTCCTAAAACTCCATCGTTTGCCTTTTTCAAACTGTAATACTCACTCAGTGTACTTATCCAAGCATACCAAGACC